TTGGCGACTTCAAATGAACCATCTACAACAACAATAACAAAGACGGTCAGTGAATTTTTGCTAACGATAAAAATGCCATTTCTCAATCACTGCCTTTTTACTATGAAATCAATTATTTAAAAATTTTGTCTAAATCACAACGATTTCTGTGAACCAACACGACCCAGACACTTTAACAACAAAAGACTATTTTTACTTCTTTTTAATTCTTGTAAATAAGTTTGTAAAATGATTCATTGAATAGACATACTCAGGTCTATATTTTTATCTTATTATTGTTTGAAATTCGGACGTTCGGATTTTTAATATAAAAACCAGGAAGATTGAATTTTCTACAAATGGTGACCTTGTGGCGGACTTCACATTAATTTAACTTAGATTAGGAAACCAAACTGAGGTGGAAAAAGGATAAGCCAAAGACATCATTACCCATAAAATATGTATTTAACAAGATGTACAAACAAGGATGTGAAAGAAAAGCATTCATTGAGTAAAACAAAAGTTGTCTCTCTTTAACTATTATTTGTAATCCAAAGTTCACTGAAAAAAAGGAAATTTGTGATAGTTTCTGGTAATAAATGTTTTCAACGGTTTTGCTGTGTAAGGAAAAGATTATGTGAGTGTAAGCAATATTCAGCATGTGAGTGGTGGTGTGAGTGAGAAGATTGGCGCATGGTTTCAACTGTTGTAGATTCGTTTGGCAGCTGAAATGTCACTGATTATCTAAGAATATTTCTTGCTTATATAGGTGATCATCGGCTCCGAATTGCTGCGCGGGAAGAATAGTTTTTCACGTGCAGATAATCTGACTGATTGGCATTGACCAATCAGCGAGCGAGTTTTGGGGAGACTCAAGAAAGCTTCTGGGATCCGTTTCTCCCAAAAGTGCACAAAATCGACTACATGAAAATAGAGAGATTATAAAATTGTCGCATTGCTGCGATTTGTAAATTGCCTATTACAAAGTAGTGTTGATTTATTATCCAATGAATGCTTGTCGTTGTATGATTTGTATTTGTGTATGTATGTATGTATGTATGTATGTGTGTGATGTAGAACAACCTCGACCTTGAAAATCAATCTCTTGATCCTTCTATAGAATAAAGATAACACACTTATAAATAATAAATATTAAATAAGAACAAAAGTAGTGGGTGGGTGATTTTATAATTTATCATATCTATGAGAACAAAAACCAGACGGAAATCAGCCGTCAAGTATGGAAAGGTAGAATATGATAAACATGAAAAAAATCAAAGTTTAACAGATACACAATATGTCTAAGATCGACGAAACTTTAATCAAATAAAGAAGAAAAAATAAATTTGATTATTCAAAGAAATTCCCCTAAATTCACATACACTCTAGAATCTTCATATCAGTTGTTGTTAACATAAAGAAGTGAATAAACTATTATTTTCCTAACGTCTAGCATCTAGACTTGCATTCTTATCAGATGAAACTAACATAACATTACACATACTCACCAAGATCTTCAAAGAAGTATCAAATATTTTTTCTTACGGTATAAAATCTCTTTTTCCCAATGGGCCTCTTCAGAAATCAATAGAAATAATATTCATTAGAAAATTAATTTATGAAGAAACTTCAATTAAAGCCAGCTGCAAAAAAGACATTAGAAAAATACCAATAAGAAATTGTTGCGGCAATATTGACTTTTGCTAATAAACTGTATTTAGAGTTGGAAAAAAAGCAAACAATCAAAAGGGATTGAACAATAATTCTATTTTCTATATTTGCTTGTTTTCTATTTATTTCACTCATTTCATCCAACTTTTCACATTTATCAATCGATAGAATTCCATCTGTATATTTGCAAATAATTGGCATGTGATGGACTGGAATAAAAAAAAAACCATAAGAGAGAGTCCTTTTTGCCTAATGTCAGTATGGCTGATGCTAACCTCCAGCAGATGGATGCTTTGTGCCTTCTCAGGATATTTTTTCCGCTGACATGAAGTGAAAAGTGTATATTGAATCAATTGCTATGTCTGCTGCTAAGAAAGTTGCTTCACTGTCTCGTGCGAGACAATTTTTTCTCGTCAGAATCTATCATACACATTTATAAGTCTACCATTCATCCTGTCTATCAATAATACTGCCGCATCTGGTCTGATGCTTCTGCTATGTATTTAGAGATTCTAGATTTAAAAAAAAAAACAAAGAAAAATCTGCAATGTATTCGTTCTGACCTAGTATCTCGTCTTCAGTCACTTTCCCACTGTTATAACGTAACTTAGATGTGCCTTTTTTTATAAATATTTTCATGGTAATTGTTTTCATCTTTGGTATCTAGATTTTATGAATTAAAGCACAGTACTATATTGGCAGCAAGGTCTCATACATTTACAGTTAAAATGGCTAAATTTAATTGTAAGTTCTATGTTAACAGTTTTTTTTTATCTCGCCTTTCTCACTTTTCGAACTCTCTTCCAACTCCTTGCTTTCCAATCAAGTTTGATCTTCAAAAATTTAAATGCAATGCCAATCGTTATCTTCTTGATATCTGTTCTTTTATTGTTATCTCACCTTAATAAGGTTTTTTTTCATATTCTCTTTCACTCATGTCTTAGTTTTATCATATTTTCTCACACTCATGTCTTAGTTTTCTCATATTCTCTCACCTTTGTCTTAGTTTTATCATATTCTTTGACATTTATATCTACGTTTTCTCATATTCTAGCACACTCTTGTTTTAGTTTTCTCATATTCTCTCTCACTCATGTCTTAGTCTTACCATATTTTTTCACAATCATGTTTTAGTTTTCTCATATTCACGAACACTCACGTCTTAGTTTTCTCATATTTTCTCACACTCATTTGTTCGTATTCTCATATTCTACCACACATGTCTTAATTCTTTCATACTATTTCACACTCATATCTTAGTTTTCTCAAATGCTCTCACACTCATGCCTTAGTGTTCTCATCTACAGAGTAACCCAAAAAAAACAGAAACTACAAATTTTTGAATAAAAAAGGTAATATTCATTTTTCTTCTTTTCTCTTTCAGGTTCTATAAGTTGACTTTATGCATGAAATATTGGAATAATCTTCTCTACTATATCTTCAATCAACCAAGGAAAAGTCATTTTGCGTGGAGGCCGATTTCGTCAACAAATGATACCCTGTAGTGTAGTACAAGCAAATTTTCGGAGAAAATTTCAGTGTCGTCATGCTCCATCAAAAAGCAAAATTTTTGACTGGGTTCAGAGTATGGGACTGTGCAAAATTTGAACTCAAAATGTCTGAGGGACACTTATTCTGATCGAAGGGTGAGTGCTAGAAGAGAAAGAAACATTGATGCTGTACGGGACTCAGTGAGGCAGAGCCCAAAGAAATCACTTCGACGACAAAGTCAACAACTGGAAATCTCTCGATAATCTTTGGGGTGTGTTCTTAAATCAGATCTTCATTTATATCCTTACAATATTCAAATAAAGCAAAAACTTATGGAGACTGACATGGAAAAACATGTGAATGGTTTTGGGACACAATCGAAGACAATCCAGGCTTCTTAGATCATGTTTGGTTCCTTGACGAAGCGCGCTTTCTACTTTCGGGACATGCAAACAGCAAAAACAATGTTTATTGGGGTACAGCAGCACCGACAACAACGTGCACAGCATGGGTTGCAATTTCTAAACATGTCATTATCGGTCCATATTGGTTCAAAAACGAAAATGAGAGACCTCAAACAGTGAATACGGAGCGCTATGTGGCAGTGCTGGGGAAGCTTTGGGCATCACTGGTACGACGCAGAGGGATAGATCGATATGAACAGTGGCTCCAGCAAGACAAGGCCACACCCCACCACCAAACATCAAATGACTCCCTAGCCTGACTGAGAGAGCGATTTGAGAGACTGATCAGCAGGAAGTGTGACGTTGAGTGGACACCGCATCCACCGGACTTGAACCCCACAGATTTTTATTTGTGGGGTGGGGTGGGGGCTATCTCAAGAATAATGTGTACCGGAACAACCCTCAAATGATTGGTGAACTGAAGGCAGCAATTACAACAAAAATTGGGGAAATCCCCAAAGAGGAATGTGTCCGTGTAATTCATTGCCGCGGAGTCCATTTGGAGCATATTTTGGAAAAAACATGACTTTTATGCAAAGCGACCAATTTAACTAAAACTTTGGGGAATGATCGTATGCAGACTGAAGAGTAAATCCACCAACTTTCTTGAAATTAACTGGACTTTTCTAGGATTTATTACAATATTTATGGGTCCTTTTTTTGTGGGGGTCACCCTGTATTTTCACAATCACGTCGTAGATTTCTCATATTCTTTCGCATATATATCTTAGTTTTCTCATATTCTCTTTCAATCATGTCTTAATTTTCTCATATTCTCTAACAGTTATGTCTTATTTTTCTCATATTTGCTCACACTTATGTCTTATTTTTTTATTCTCTCACACTCAAGGATTAGTTTTATCATATTCTCTCAAATTCATGTCTTAGTTTCGTCATATTCTGTCGCTCGCATATCTTTTCTCATGCTCTCAAACACTTATATCTTAGTTTTATCATATTCTTCACACTTAAGTTTTAGCTTTCTCATATTCTCTCACACTTGTATCTTAGTTTCTTCATATTTTTTCACGCTCATATTTCCTCACATTCAGGTCTTAATGTTCCCATATACTCTTACATTCATGTCTTAGTTTTCTCAAATTCTCTCTCATCATGTCTTAATTTTATCATATTCTCTCACACTCATCTCTTAGTTTTATCTTATTTTTTCATATTTTCTCACATTCGTCCTAGTTTTCTCGTATTCCTTCATCTTTATTACTTAGTTATCTATTATTATTTCTCACACTCATGTCTTAGTTTTCTCATATACTCTCACACTCAAGACTTAGTTTTCTCATATTCTTTCTCACTTGTGTTTTAGTTTCATCATATTCTCTCACACTTATTTTGTTTTTTTTCTCACACTCATCTTAGTTTTCTCTTTTTTTTTAGTTTCATCATATTTTCTCACACTCATCTCTTATTTTTTTCATATTTTCTCACACTCACATCTTAGTTTTCTCATATCCTTTCACACTCATATCTTAGTTTTCTCATATTCTCTCTCACATCTTAATTTTCTCATACTCTTTCACACTCATATCTTAGTTTTCTCTTTCTCTCTCACATTTTTTTTTTTCTCATATCCTTTCACACTCATATCTTAGTTTTCTCATATTCTCTCTCACATCTTAATTTTCTAATACTCTCTCACACTCATATCTTAGTTTTCTCATATTCTCTCTCACATCTTAATTTTCTAATACTCTCTCACACTCATATCTTAGTTTTCTCATATTCTCTCTCACATCTTAATTTTCTAATTCTTCACACTCATTTTTTTTTCTCATATTCTCTCACATCTTAATTTTCTAATACTCTCTCATCTTAGTTTTCTCATATTCTTTCTCACATCTTATTTTCTATCTTAGTTTTCTCTTATTTTCTCTCATATTCTCTCTCATCTTAAATTTTCTAATCATATCTTAGTTTTCTCATATTCTCTCTCACATCATCTCTTCATTTTTTTTTCATATTTTCTCTCACATCTCACATCTTAGTTTTCTTCTTCTCTCTCATCCTTTCACACTCATATCTTAGTTTTCTCATATTCTCTCTCACTCATATCTTAATTTTCTAATACTCTCTCACGCTTATGTCTTATTTTTGCTGCACAAATTAACAGAGACATTCATTTGCAATGCAAGATAACATTTATTGAATGAATTAACAAAAGGAAAGTTTAAGAGTTTCTTTTCTTAGATTTAAATTGAAAGAACAATGAAAATTGTTAATGAATGTATTTGAGTGTGACTTGCCTGTGTAAGTGTGTTTGTGTGTAAAGTGTCCAATGGCTCTTTTTGCTCAGTGTGAAAAGTATATGGCTTACTTGGAACGGAGGGAAAACCAAAAGAGAAAGTTACTTAAGGCTTCACTTGTTTTTATACCCTCTGGGCTGCTGCTGCTGCTGCTGCTGATACTATGTTTATTAAGTCATTACAAAGGTAAAGAAACAGACCAGCAATATTGCTTTCCAGGTATCTGGTGGGTGTGTGGATGGTGTAATGGATAATAGCCTAGAATGAAGTTCAAATTCCAGTTGGGTTTATTACATTTACTTTTGTGCTAATACTCTCGGGAAGCATAGTAATTCAATCAATCAAAATCAGGCAATTATTTTCATCATCTGTATATTTACAACATTTTACTTAGCCTTATTTCCAGTTTATATATTCAAAACAAATATTTAAAAGTGTAAAGAGTATCCTCAATACTGTAAAATGTTTCAGTGATGATATCGGTATAGATTTCGGATTAGATATTAGATAAATGTGCAAAAGTAACATTCAAGAAAGGGAGAATTATAGAAACATACTCAATAGATCAAGATTTTATACAAAGATTAGGGAACTGGAACAAAAAGAAGCCTATAAATACCTAGGAGTCAATGAAGGAAATACAACATACGCAAATGAAGGAGAAAGTAATAAAAGAATGCCACCGGCGTGTGCTTCTGGTATTAAATACCAAGTTGACTTCACAAAACAGAATATCAGCCATAATCACTTTGGCTGTCCCTGTGGTGCAATACAATTTCAAAATCCTTAAATGAATTATAGCTGACATTAAGTGAATGGAGGTCAAAACGAGAAAGCTTCTTACCACCGCATGCATCATCCTAAAACTGATGATGATCGTCTGTATGTATCTAGTTCCGTAGAAGGAAGAGGATTAATTCAACTAGAATTGTCTTACAAAACCACAACAATCGGTCTTCAAAGATACCTGGAAACTACAGAAAAGTGGAAAATGATCTGTATTAAAGAACAAGAAAAATATAAGAAAATTTATTCCGTAATAAAGGAAGCCGGCGAATTCAAAAAAGAAGTGCGAATAAACCATAATACACCTACTGCAGTGACAAAGAACCTAAAAAAGAAAGTAAATTCAATGTACCAAATGCAGAAACAATAGCAAGATAAGCGTCTTTATGGTCAATACACTGCTTGTACCAGACAAGCTGATGTAGACAAACCTCGTACGCATTAGTGGTTACATAGTGCAGCTGAAACTAAAGGTTTTATTCTTGTTGCGCGGTACCAATGCTTTCTAACTAGAAATTACCAAGCACACAGACAGAAAAATTATATTAACCTGAAATGCAGATTCTGTGATAAATATCCAAAAAAAATTGGCCATTTTGTATCAGCGGTGTTAGTATCCACTGAATATAAAATTTGGCATGATAGAGTGAGCCAATATCTGCACTGGAAAAAACTTTTACAGAAAGGAAACTGCAAGAGACTAATATAAAAATCATCCAGATCCAGGACCTGAAACAATTTTATGGGAACTTACAGTGCACACAGACACAACGATCCAAGCAAATCGGCCAGACATCGTGATCAAAGACCATAAGAACGGAATGTGCTTTCTTATTGACATGGCAGTCCCTGCAGATTGTAATGTATCTTTGAAGATCTTCAAAAACCTATCAAAAAAACAAGAACCTTGAAGTAGAAATCTCAAAAAATCTGGCACATGAGGGCATCCATAATTCCAGTTGTAGTTGGAGCCCTCAGATTGATTTTGAAAAGACTCTGATAGATTAATTGAAGATATTCATGGTAGCTCATGCCTTAAAGAAATAAAAAAAAAATTGCACTCATAAGTACAGTTCACACATTACAAAGATCTTTATCTACGTAAAATGTGTGTGATCTTAGTTTTTGTTTTTTTTTACACAAATGAAAAGTGGAAAATGTCATGAAGCTATTTCTAATCTTAGGTCTCTGCTTGGGTCCTAGAAGGAAATGTGTATACAACAGAAATCTAAGGAAATAATAATAATAATCTAAGATAATTTAACTTATATTCATGTCATGACAATTCATAGATAATTGTTGTAGCATTCCTATGGATGATAATGGGTGAATACTGTATGTGTTGGCCTGTGGTCTGCAGTTGGAGATTTGCCTTTAGCTGGTTTGGTTATTTAATTCAGTATTTATTTTTGATATTGTTGTAGCATACCTACAGACAATGTCCCCATTAATATAAATACAGTAGTAAATACTGTATGTTGGTCTGCAGTTGGAGATTCATTGTGGAATTCACTTGACTCACTTCTAGCAGTTGATTACTTCTTTTAATCATTGATTGTTCTTGTCCTAAGTATTATCGTTCATTACCGACCTTTGTGTTTTCATTCTATTCAGTTACCTTCCCTAGGTTACAACAATAATAAAGAAATGGAATCTGTGGAGCATTGCCAGGCATGGGCAACCTTTTGTGAGAAACAGGCTGCATGATATATGTTTCATTATAAGATAGAACACACAACTAAAGAAATCCAAGATAATTTTTCATTGAAAATATCTCTATTTATACAGATCAGTATCTGGAGAAAAGTTTTTTTGTTTCTCCTTTGAAGTATATCCTATAAAAAGAAAAGAAAATCTTGGTATAATATTTACTATTGATGACAATGTTATTAATGCACACTATTATATCTAATTTATTTCTAATTTATTCATTTATGCATGGAAAAAATCTAAAAAAAATCTTTCTTCTTTACATAAATAAAAATTATTTTTAACATTTCTTCCTTCTAAAGCATAAACTGTTACACATATGATCATTCTTAGTGAGAAATGCCAATAGTTTAAAATGTTAAAAAAGATGGCTACAAAAATACATTCCAAAATTCAAGAAATATTGTATTTAATCATTGTTTATATATGTTTATCTATGAGAAAGTGCAAATGAACAAGCGAGAACAATGCAAAACATGCAAAATTCTAATGAAAGTTTTTTCTCATGAAATTCGGAATGTCATTCAGAATGCCAAATAGACATTTGGCTTAAGGAAGGATTGGAAATAAAAATATTCAGTTAATATGTTGAACAATATGAGAACACAACAGACCACATGGAAGTGTAAGGCAAAATGAAATAAGGTAAAAACTGAAGTTTGAGAAACTGAATAATCAACAGTGTGATAGCTCAAGATTTGAATTAGAATTTACCCACAGTTTGCTAGTAAAATCCAGTAAGATTAAGTAATACCCATCATCTATCTATCCCTGTAATAACAATCATCACTGTAATACTTTACAAATGTGAACAAAGTGGCCATGTATTTCATTATCTGTTATGAAACTGTTAAAGTTATAAAGAAAACAACTCCAAGACAATAATAAGCTGTTAGGGTCATAATCTAAAATTATATTTTAATTATTTTTTTAAGAGTGCTAATAAGAAAAGAAATTAAGAGAAAGGATCCCTAAGACTCTTAGAAAAATAAATAAAATACAACTTGTGCACTATGTCAGTAATGACCACTGATGTCATTCAGGACATCAGACCAGTTAAAATAAAATCTCTTTTCCATGCATGTGTTTCAGTTTCATCAATCAGTATGACAAAGTTGATTCTTCAAATAGTGATACAAATTGAATTTCTATGAGAATATAATCATGGAACAGTGTTTCTATTTTATCCTATTAATGTAAAATCAAACACCAGAAACCCTGAATATCTTTTATTTTATAAAGAAGTTTGTAGAAGTTAATTGTAGAAATGAAGCACATTCATCAACAAACTATTGTGACACTTTGGCTTATAAACCTTCTTACACTTGGGTGAGAACAGACATTGAGAGTAGTGACATTAAATTCTCCAGCAAGCTGATAAATGATAAATCAACCTAGAAACGAGCTATCGAATTGATTGCCTACTAACAAGATAGTAGTTGGTCAATACATCATGGGAAAATGAATGAAAGCGTGAAATAAGTTCTTAAAGTATCATAACACTCTATTGTAATTCACTTCTTTGACTAATTGGGGTTGAGAAATAATAAACAGTACATAAACAGGTGTTACTCATACCCTTAACACATGATAGAGATAGGCCAGCAAACAAAAAAATGTGTGGTTGGATCAAATGGTACTGAGATAGCTGCAGTCTAACATGACAGTGATCCTGGTTGAGTCATGCTAGTAATTCATGGAAAGTAGTTAGTGACTTGAGGTATTGAGAGACTTGATAATTCTGAGCAAAGAAGATATTAAAAGGATAAAAATATACGAGAGTTATTATTCAGATTGGTGTCTGATATAAAAAATAGTTTGCTTAAAAATATTAATTAAAAACCATAAAATATGTTTGAGGAAGGCCTCAAAAGTATTTGAAATCAAAATAAATTATGTAAAATTGCATAAGATTCAGCATAAATGACATTCCCTGCCTTGAAAGGGGTGGCATGACATAACTAATGATTTTGACAAAAGCCCACAGATTTTTGTTATTTAGAAACCTATTTGTCATATTTGTGTTTATTTTAATGTAATTTTGGAAACTCAAAAATCTAGGCCAAAACTGAAAAACACTTTGTGGCCAGCCATCAGGATTTCTTACAGAAGTTTCTTTCTTTTAGATACTAATTAATTTTGTCTTATTCCTGAATGGAAGGCTATATAAATGGAATATGCATTCACACAAATGAGGAGACACATGACAGTTGGAGACGCTTACATACTCCGTTCAAACTTTGTACATTAGAAAAAGTTTACTGTAAATGTAATTCACTGCTAAGACGACTCCCTGTACTTTAAGGAGTACAAAAAAGGATGATTG